CCCAGGGGCACAAGCCCTGCCCTGCTCCTGCTGCCACACTCTTCCTCAGCCAGCCCAGCAGCCATTGGCCCTCTTGCCCCCCTGGCCACACTCGGGCTCCTCTTCAGCTCCCTGCCCAGCCCAACTCCCAGCTCCCTTCCTGCCTGGCTGCTCTCCAGCCCCTCTGGCCCCAGAAGAAACCCCACTGACTGCAGGGAAGAACAGGACACAGAGACCTCAAACACGGGAGAGTTTCCTTCAGGTCAAACATGAGCCACGTCCGTGGGATGGTTTGTGAAACCTGACTTTGCTTTTCCAGCTCCGAAGAGGCAAAAAATAACTGAAAACGTACTGAACGTGCAAGTCACACTTGATTTTTAAAACAAATGGAAGCCCTGCCAGCACAGCTTGGCCTAAAGGCAGGAATTGCTTTTACAGAGCTCCACATCAGCCTCGGCGGAGAATCCACACGCCTGCACGTGGCTTGCACAGGAGCCTTTAAAAGCTCCCACAAAAGGCAGTGACTGCACTAAATGTTCCCCCCCATAGGAAAAATTATCTAAGGAAATATTGAAAGCAAAAGGGAGATTCAGACTCTACGGAGGGAGGTAATTTTGCCTCTCCTTTTAAACCGAAAAAGGAGATTTAGCAAGAAATTCTGCGAGAAGTTTGGTGGGTTTGAACCTCTCAACACGTTGGGTGTGCAATGGAAACATAAACAAGAGATAAAAACATCTACAAAGCCCTTGGTTATAGACACCAAAAAAAAATAAAATTGAAATATGAGGATTAGAACCATGGGTGATTCCTTAAAATTCTCCTTGAATGGGAAAAAACCCAATTGGATCAGCCCTGCCCGCTCCTTAATGGATTGTGAGGGCTGGGAGCCAGCCTGGAATGACAACTAATTGGTTTATACTAATTAATAACAACATCCAGTGGCCATCAAAGCATGGAGCCATCACCACTGGGGAGACACTCAGATTCTGGGACCATCCTTCTTCTTAATAAATGCTAATTTGACAGGAAGAAAACATGCCAAAGCTCCCAGGGATGACTCCTTGGAAAGTCACAATCCAGTGATTTCAACTTCATGTGTGGGATACCTGGGAAAATCAGCTCCAGCAAGTCATTATCCTGCAAAACAGCTGCACACTCTGACTTTTGAAGGAGTTTTTTTCATGGATTTTTCAGTGTTTGGAGCTTGGCCAGAAAACCCTCACGTGCGTCATCTACACCACACTGAGATGAGGAACAACATCACAGGGATGCTTGAGAGGGAAAATCCCACTCAGAGGGGGAAGATTGAAGCAATTTGCATAATTTTGGAGACAGGGCAGTGGAGTTTTAAGGCCAGTGTTGGCAGTGACCACTGGAAAGATTTAGATTTATCACCTCAACATGAACTGTACAAGAATAGGCTGGAAGAGGGTTCTTGTAGCCTCATTTAGGATTGAGTCAAACAATTACAGCCTGGAATTGAATGCAGAATAATTCAGAGACAAATTAGTTTCATGGTTTTTCAGTCACTCTGCAAACAGGTTTACCCAATTTTACATTCAAGGATGGCAGAATGGAAAATGAGCCCAGCAAAATGCAATATTTCCAGAGGAAATATTTTCTAAAGGATAATCTTTACAGGAACGGGCTGAGGACAGGATGGCAGAGGGTGCTACAAAACCTCTTATCTCCAAACTAATTCAGTTCCAAACATGTGCTGATAGTCATCCCCAAGCAGCTTTATCAGCCTGTGCAGCGGGGGCTGATAAATTCTCGAGTCGTGTTCAAATCACAGCGGCGGCTCCGGCTGGAGGAGCTTCAGAAAGATCCTCAGGATAGCAAAGAGTGGGATGGTTGAACCACAAGCCCCTCCAGGAATGCCACAAGGCAGGGAAAAGCCGGGAGAGAAGTGCCAGGTTCACTCACTCCCTGCTCCCCACACTTCCATCCCACCCAGGGGGTGACGAGGCCAAAGACTTCAGGCTCCTTCTGTCGATGCAGAAACAGCCTTTTTATTTCTTGTCTCCATAAAATTAGTGTAGGGAGCTATTTGGGATGATTTGGTGCAAAGAAGCAGCGTTTTTTTCTTCTCTTCCACAAAATTACCCTTCTGCAATGTGGGGAACAAGCAGAACTTGCTTGTTGTGACCAAAAATAATTCCAGTTCAAAGCGATCCCCGTCCACCACGAGAAACAAATTCTAGGAACTGGAGGAGAAAATTCCAAGCCATTCTGACTCTTCAACCCCTAATGAACTTTAAGGATATATATTGAGATTATAGGATATATTTTCCTGGCTACAAATGAAGCCAGAATCCATATTATTGCATTAAGGATCCCCAAAAAATTTCTGAGGTTTACAATGTCCACGGTCCATCCCAAACCTGCTATGCCCAGACAGGCACAGATTTAGTGACTATTAATCCATGAAAAATCCTGGAAACTCCCCAAAATAATAACAGCAAGAACAGTTATTACTATTATTCTATGTAGCCATAAGATACCTGTTTTTTACAACTATAAACTGGGATAAACCTTAAAAGTGATCAGATAAACCTCGGGAGCTGTGAGCTGCTTCCTTAGAACTCTGCAGGTTTTATCCATCCCTGAAGAGATGATTTTACAGATCAGAGGGAATAATTAAGGATTATAATAATAATAATTAATATTGATATTACTAAATAATAATAATTAAGGGTTAAAAGAGCTTGAAACAAACAACAGCAAGAGTCAGTTCTTTCGTTTCAGTTCCAGGCAACACGTAAAATCCCGAATTCTGGGGTGGGATTCCACACTGTCCTGTTATGCCTGGAACTGGGATGAGAACTGTGGTTGTTGCTGTTAGCACTGCTCCACACCAGAGCCCAAAAAAAGCTGTTTCAAAAGACACTTCTTGTATAAATCCTTGACCCTCAGAGCCAGATCCCTCCCATTCCTCGTATGGGAGGGAGCCCTGGAGCTGCCGCGGTGTCACATCAGCCACCAACACCCTGCACTCAGGAGGCAGTAGGTCCCACCTCTGCTCCTCCTGGGAGCTGGGAATGTGTGTTTAGTCCCATTACACAGCTCTGTGACTGGCAGGAGTCCCCAGAACTTCTAAGGGAGGAACATGGAAATCTTTCTCCCCAATATCCCACCTATCCCGGGCAGCGGGAAGTGATTTCCCATTGACCTGGCACTTCAGGCCCTTGTCCCCAGTCCCTCTCCAGCTCTCCTGGAGCCCCTTTAGGCCCTGCAAGGGGCTCTCAGCTCTCCCTGGAGCCTTCTCTTCTCCAGGTGAACCCCCCCAGCTCTCCCAGCCTGGCTCCAGAATCATGGAATCCCAGGATTGCTTGGGTGGGAAAGGACCTTAAAAACCTCCAGTGCCACCTCTGCCATGGGCAGGGACACCTTCCACTAGCCCAGGTTGCTCCAACCCAGCCTTGGACACTTCCAGGGATCCAGGGGCAGCCACAGCTTCTCTGGGAAATCCATTCCAGCCCCTCCCCACCCTCCCAGACAACAATTCCTTCCCAATATCCCACCTAACCCTGCCCTCTGGCACTGGGAAGCCATTCCCTGTGTCCTGTCCCTCCAGGCCTTGTCCCCAGTCCCTCTCCAGCTCTCCTGGAGCCCCTTTAGGCTCTGGAAGGGGCTCCAAGGTCTCCCTGGATCCTTCTCTTCTCCAGGTGAGCACCCCCAGCTCTCCCAGCCTGGCTCCAGAGCAGAGGGGCTCCAGCCCTCAGAGCAGCTCCGGGGCCTCCTCTGGACTCTCTCCAGCAGCTCCACGTCCCTCCTCACTGGACACAGAGCCAGGTCCTGGCTAGACATGGCCAGTCAGGGATGTGCTGACAGGTCCCTCAGCCCTTACCTGCAGCAGAGGCCTCTGCACCCCCAGGACCTTCATGGTGTCCGCGTTGGCCAAGATCTTGAGCGGGTCCGACGCCTTGGTGACGCCTTCGATCTCCTTGTTGATCTCAGCCAGGACCTGGTTGAGGAAGATGTTCTTGATGTACATGGTGAGGAACTCCCTGAGGGGGCACTGCTTGGCTGGGCCAAGCTCCATGGCAAACTCGATCTCCTGGATAAACCTGGAAAAGAGAAGGGGAACAGTGAATCACAACCAAACCATGGAGGGACTTTAAACGTGTCAGCGGGGCCTCTGCCACTCCTGCACCTCAAATCCAAGCACCAGCTGGGAGGGAATGACTGTGGGCCGTGCCAGCATGAGGAAAAAAGTCCACAAGGTGAGACAAAGACTCGACTGCTGGAGGAGAACAGATAAAATGAGGGAAAATCCACATCCCGAGCACAATTTGCGATGATTTGTTCAAAAAATGTTGACTCAACTGCTGGAGGAGAACAGATAAAACGAGGGAAAATCCATACCCCAGGCACCACTTGTGATTATTTCTTCAAAAACCATGGACTGCTCTGTTTGACACCTACTGGAATGATGTTTTTCTAAAATTAAAGCCCTCCCAGAAACAATTTTGGATGCCAGGAATCCCTTGGAAAAGGCAAATTTCCTCCCGAGGTTGGTCACTCCATTCCCACAGGCGGGTTCCTCATCTCTAAACTGAACAACAGAACATTCCAGCTGGAAATCACATGGGGAAAAACAAGCAATGCATATGGATTATCCTCTTCTCAAGCTGCATTATGCATGCCTGTATTATGGTGTATTTTTATCATCCTCCATTGTTTCATCCAAGGATCCCGTTCCCGCTCACACAGACGATCCCGGGAATATTTTAACACCAAATGTTTGCCATCTCCCGCAAAAATCTCTCGATTTCTGCGGTGCCACCTGCTTAACACTTCCAGAAATTACCTCTTTAGTTTCTTCAACTGCATCTGAGGCAAAGAAATAATCTTCCTTTTTAAGTTTTAAATAATCAAAATAATTAGGGATTGAGCGTCGGGAGCCAGGACGGATCGAGACTCGCTGTCCAAAGTTGTGCCCGGGGAGGTTTAGGTTGGATAGCAGGGAAAATTCCTTCAGTGGAAGGTGAAGTGGTGGAGCCACAATCCCTGAAGGTGCTAAAAACCACACGGATGTGGCACTTGGGGACCGTTTCCCCAAATATTTCAACGAGATTTTCTTAATTGTCTGTGATTTTCTCCCTCCCCTTCCCACGCTCCAGAGGAGGCAGCTTCCCATCAGAGCCCTGACTGAGGAGCTCCTGCCAGTTTTCATGGCATGATTTCCTTCAAATCCAAGCCACTTGCTCCCTAAATCCTCTGCCCTGGTGACTCCAGCAGTCTGGAATGACATTTGATTCCACGGGGGATCCACCTGCAGCTCAGCTGGAAGACGGCTTCTCCAAAGAGAAGGGAACACAAAGTTCTGGCAGCTTTGTTCCCCGGATTTCACAGACCAAGAATGGGAATTGTCATATATAAATGAAGTATAAATATAAATATGTTCCTCAGTATAGAACAGGGAAGCAGTGGAGTCACCTGGGAAGAGAGCAGAGCCCCCCACCAGCTGATCCCTGGAATCACAGACCTGATGGCACCAGGTGGAGTGACAACCACTCATGTCCTTCAGGAAACAGTGTCAAGCTTGATGGGACGACAATAAATTAATTTACCACGACTGCCAATGAATTTGCCACCCTTTCTTCCTGAGTTTATTTACACAGTGCTTGTGACACAGAAAACCCACAGAAAAAATGGGAATTTTACCATTCCAGCTGGGGAAGGAGAGGCACAAGGGGTTGGATTTGGAAAGGAGAATCGTTCAGTGAAGTGAAGGAAAAGCTTTAAAACGCTTTTTAAAATCCAATACACGCTTAAAAACGGCTAAAACACGCAAAAATAGAAAACTTTCAGAGGGAGAATGAGCAGGCATCAACTCTGAGAGCTCAGAAGTGCTGAACTGCAGCAGCTCCTCATCCCACAAGAGCCTGAGGGTGCTTCCAAGGGTTTCCTGGACCTCAGACTAAATTGCCTGTGCAAAGATATAGGAAAGGTCAGTGCTAAAAAAAAGGTGTAATCGAGACTTTTTGTTTGTACCTGGCATTAATCCCCCATTTCAGATCCCTCCTAAAAACTTGTGCCTCAACCTCCAGGAAACTTCTCGATTAAAGTTCCGGTGGTCGATGTGTTCCAAAAAGTCTTAATGCCTTGGCACAGACAAGACAAAACAGTGGTTCACTTAAT